GGCTCTGTCTGTGTGCGTTATGTTCAGTCAGCCAGTCGTCTCATGTTCATCCTGCCTTCACAATAAACATCCTCACCCAGCCTGCGAGTCCTGCGTTTGAGTCCACTCTTCTCCACATCCACACAGTGACAAGTGATGCCACATTGTTTAATTGAAATATGGAAACCACCGAGTGACAAAACAAATTCAGTGTATAGCTGTGTCAGTGATGACGACATCGGCACCTCCATGTGTCATTAGAGCAAAGCTTCCCAAAGGAAATACACTACCTGTACATGAGTTTTTGTAGCGTGTGTGTGTGTGTGTGTGTGTACCTGGGTAACAGAGCTGCCACAGTAGTGAGAACACATGTGATGTAGAAAAGAGAGTGGGACATTTGGAGTAACTCGATGCTCAGAGGGTTGACAGGAGGGCTGCAGGTCACACAGAAGCCACTGAGGAGCAGTACAAAAGCAAAGTAGGAAGTGCAGCTGAGCACCAACACGACCACGTGAATCCATGTCTGCAAAAAAAGAAAAAGATTCAAAACTGCAGAGCACAACTAAAGAGCGAGAGCTGCTCCTGAATCTCTCCATGTTCAGTTCTGACTTGGATTAGATTTTTCCTCACGCTGTACACCAAAGGTCTCCAACCTAAATGAGCTGAGGGCCACTTTAGTGTTCAAGTCGTACAAAAAACAAACAAACAACAAAACTATTTCCAAAAATGTAGTTATTCTTTTGTTTTTTAAATTTCAAATATCGTATAACAAACTGCAAACGTGAGTGCAGATTCTTTTCTCGCACTCGTAACTAACTGAAGCCTTTGAACCACCAGATAAACACACTGGTCCTCTCTTTGTGGACACGTGCAGCACTAATTGTGTTCGTATGTAACAAATCAAAGTGCAGACGTAAGTGTACACATTAGTGTGCGACTCTCACTGAACTAACAGCCGATCCTCAGCATGTTTGTGCTCTCTGCTCATGTTGCCTTCATATTAAATCATTTAAAGAATTTATTTTAAGATTGCACTCAACAACAAACAAATCTTCAAGGGACAAACTGCATTCGATTTCTTCACGTCAACAAGTAGAGGTGACCTGTGCCGTGAGTTTGAGACCCTGCTGTACACCCTAACATAACACACATAACCTTTAAGCTACACACTTGTTACTGTAAAGGCAAAGTAACTGAGACACAATCAGCTGAAGTATAAATGGTTTTGAGTCTGACCAGTGTGTTGCTCTCGATCACTTGGTGCAGCAGAATAATGAAAAGTGCTGATGCGTTGATCGGTGAGCCAAAGGACAGCACCCCAACATCTGACCCTGCGTATGCCTGTGAAGACAGAAAACACTCTCACATGAAGATCTTAGAACATTAGGAGAACACAGACAGACCCACATGCATGTAAATAGAAGAAATAAGTAACGATTTGCATGTACTTACAAAGTAAGGCACAAAAAAGCAAACGAGGCTTTGGTAAAAAGCATCCAGGACCGTGATCCAGAACATGTACGGAACAAACGTCTGTGAACACATCACAACCATCTGTTACACTTTCAACAAATATGAGTGTTACTGATGTCACACATGCAATACTTGTTTGGCCACAACACGTGAATGAAAAACAAATGAGCCGTGCTTAATGATAATGAGGTAATGAGCAAGGCCAGAGGTCAGCGACACAGATAAAACCAATATGATCCTATGAACCAGCAGGTGGCGCCGGCATTTCTTTTTGTGCATTTTGATTTTTCTACTATATGTAATGTACACATGTATGGCCATGATAGTGCCCTATTTTCTGTGTAAATAATAAAATGATCACAGAAATGTAACTGTTGACATATTAAAGTGAATTATGTGTTTTTCTGTTATGCAGGACTGTTGTGATCATGTTTATGCACATTATGAGTTAGCAGCCTACGTTAGTAGGTATCAGAGTTTCATCATAGCAAGTGCAGAACCAGTTTACATTCAGTGATTTAAATATTTTGAAAGCCAAATAAATGTAGCGATCAATAAAGTTTTCATAATTTAAGCAGTTTTCTTTTTTCATCGACATGATGCTGCTGAGACTTCATGATGCTAACTGTGTTCATGAGCTGCTGTTTCAGAAAATACATTTGTTAGGAGCAATGACCATACTCTAGAAAATGTTTGACAAAAATGAAAAACAAATGAAATCCTTAAACAGCAGCTGCCTTTTGTGTAGTTTGTGTGTCATTTCTATGGCGTGTGTGTGTTTGCAGTAACCTTGGACGTTTGTGCCTCCTGGTAGAGCTCGGGCAGCTCCATCAGAGTGTCAGCAGGTAAATCTTGGTTGAGGATGCCGTAAATGAGCGGAGGAGCTGATGTAAAGATCAGATTGAAGAGGATGAGCACCCAGGAGTTGGTCATGACGCTCCCAGAAAACCCACAGAAGAACTGATACCAGAACAGCAGGTTCACATACATCTGCAGGTAAGAAACACAGTCAGCAGTGAGGAATTTCCTTACTTTTTTATCCTTGTGTGAACAAGGAATTGCTCTAAAATTTTCTGTGTTTTGTAACGAATAAGTGCCATTTCTGGGAGATTCTTTCGTTTCAGGCAGAACATGAGCAGCTTTGCTGCGAGGAGGGAAGAAAGTCCATGTTACACAGTGGAGGACCACAGCTTTGTCATGGTCATAAATCACTGGCCCAGCTCTTTATCCTTTCAGTGATACGATGACAAAATGATTGTTCATTGATTGTATGTTTGATTTATGCTAATAATGTGTAAGGACAACATGCAAAGTCCACATATAAAAGGCCCCCAGCTGTCTTACTTTAAGGTGTCATTACTAATCTCTGCACAGGCACAGCTCAATATCAACAAGTCCTCTGCATCATTGCAAGCTAGAGTAGGAAGGCTGCTGGGTGCCTCGAACCTGTGTCAGACTAGTGTTGACCTCAGGACAGATTTGAGACGTGCTGTGAGAGCTGGACTCAGCGGCCGGGGAGAAGAACTGTCCCACAACAGGAACCCTCCAATGTCATATTAAGTCTTATTAAATGTAGTCGTCAGTTTAAAGGTGTCCAAATGATAGGCAGAATAAACCGGAAAGTTCCGAGTTCCTGAAGGCTCTGGACGTTGTAGGGCTGTCCTGGTTGACACACCTCTACAATGTTGCATGGAGATCAGGGGCAGTACCCCTGGACTGGCAGACGGGGGTGGTGGTCCCCATCTTTAAGA